AAAAAAAAAAAAAAAAAAAGTTCAAAGCCTAAAATAGCAAATAAGCATTGCTACCCAAATTTTTAAAAAGTGAAATTTTGTTACTTTTGCTGTAGATTTTAAAACATATAAATAAAATTAAGGAATTGATGTGCCTTATTTAAAAATGCATTTAATGTATATCAAATAAGTGGTGTTATATTGTAAGTGTCTTTCTGGATTTGGTGCCTTAATTAAATATTAAAATTTGAGATCTACATTGATGTATACAGATCGGGTGTATTTATTTTTTAGGAATCAGCCACAATTTATTCATTCCCCTACTGAGTTTTGGTTGTTTCCAGTTTCTGTTATTAAATACAACTGTGCCATACACATCTCTTTGCATGTCTTCTTATGTACTTGAACAGAAGTTTCTTTATGACATATAACAGAAATAAAATTATCAAAGCTGTGTGCATTTCCACCTTTATTAGACTTTGCCAAATTGCTGTCTAAAATACCAATTGTTAAAGAAAAATAAAAATGAAAGCCATAGTTTAGACATAACCCAAGGCAAACTGCCCATAACCACATAGCTAAAAACTTAAGTCATCCTGATTTCTCTGAAACACTAGCTCTAATCATAAGCCAAACACAGAAACATAAACTTCACCTCCTTGCCAGCATGATTCAGTGAAATTAAACCACTCGGCTATAGACAAATCATCCTGAACAGCTCTACTTGCCCTAAAAAAGAACGTTCCTGAGTAATAGCCAATCACAAAAATGGTCAAAGCACTTCCTCCTTTACGCTTTATAAACTGTGCTGTAACTGCTGCAAAGGGGGCTCCTTAACTATTTTCAGTTCAAGCTCTCCTGGTTTAAGAACTCTTCATTTGGATGCACAACAAACTTTTTTAAAATTCAAAAATTTGATCCGATTTATTTTTGACAGAGTTTATATTCCCTTCAGAAACAAATGTGAATTCCCCAACTCTATGTACTTGGTATTGCCAATTGTTTTAATTTTTGTAAATCTGCTGAATATGAAATCATATCTTGTTTTAATTGGCATATCTCTGACAACTGGTAAGACTGAGTATCTTCTTACACAGTTATTGACTATTTGAGTTTCCTCTTCTGTTTCCCTCCTCCTGGTCTCTACAATCCTGGCAGGGGGCCTCTTCTTTCAGTTTCTGCTCTCTCTTCCTTGCAGGCATTTACAGAGGCAGTTCCTCCTGCCTAGAACACTCCCATTTCCTGCTCCCCTTACTCATTCTTTAGGAGTCAGCCTAGAAATCACTTTCACTCAAAATCACTTTCACACAGAAATCACTTTCCTGCTCTGCGCGCACCTTGAATGTGTCCTGGTAGATAGTTTATTACTCGGGATTGGAATAGATTTTATTTGCTGTCTTCCCCAAAAGCCAGAATGTCTATTCATATTGTCTACCATTTTTCTAATAGGCAGTTTTTCTTTTCCCCTCAGTTGCTTTTGTTTTATTTTTGAAAACAGACATGGTGGCCTATTATGCAATTTAGTAATCTTTTAGTCCGTATACTTTATTTAGATCCCAAAGATTTATTATCATTTAATTATATAGCCTGAATTATTAAAGGGCAACATTTCTAACTGCGTAAGTAACTACCTCTTATTTTCCGTCACCGGGGAGATTGCTTCCATTGTCCTAAAGAAGGATGCCCACCAGTGGGTCATTTTGCTGATAGATTTCGCCTCAAAAATACGAAGACTAATAGATCATATTACTTTTTAAACATTGGGTCTCTTTCCCCATTTGCCCGTAAGTATTATAGCTAAGTTTTATTGTAATGCTTTAAGGTACTTATCTTTAAAAATTCAACAGTTTTTATTGTGTCTATTAAACAACTGGGCACTGGGCCAGACTGGGGATGCAGTGAAGAACAATGCAGTGAGCTCCTTCATTTCATTGAGGCTAGTGGGGAAGACAGCAAATAAAATCTGTTCCAATCCTGAGTAATAAACTACCTACCAGGACACATTTAAGGTGCGCGCAGAGCAGAAAAGTCAGGGGAGCCTTTTGAGTGAAAGTGATTTCTAGGCTGACTCCTGAAGAATGAGTAAGGGGAGCAGGAAATGGGAGTGTTCTAGGCAGGAGGAACTGCCTCTGTAAATGCCTGCAAGGAAGAGAGAGCAGAAACTGAAAGAAGAGGCCCCCTGCCAGGATTGTAGAGACCAGGAGGAGGGAAACAG